AGGGGGGGGATGGGGTACATTTTTCGTATATAAATTTTATTTACTCGAAATTATCGCAGTGTCTATTGTGTATATTTAAAGGAATAAGTTAAATCTCTTCAGATGCTGCCGAACTATTTTTTTTACTGTAACAACTAACTTTGCCAAGAAAGCCATGGAAGTAGGGAAACTCCGGAAAAAAGGGGAGAAAAGGTAAAGGTAATATATTTTACTTCGATAACGGAGGGAATGGAAGTAATTTTTGAATAAAGTGCTCAAAGGTGTGACTTTACCCTCTCAGGCTATCAGTGCTCTTTTTAGGGGTATTAAAGCTACACAAAACTGAGAGAAGTCGAGAAGAGCGCGCTCTAACCAACTGAGCTGCGTCTGCATCTATATGAAAAAACATGTAGCGAGAAAATAAAAATGGATTGAGAAAACTGAAATGGGGAAATCGGATGAAAATTATGTGTTATATTAAGTTATTCATGAAAGTTATGAATAAAACAGTGGATGCTAATGAAAAAAGCTTAAAAGATCACGAAAACGAAGATAAATCTTCGTTATTCAGTAATTTCGTAGAACTTTACAAGTTTTAACATTCAAGTTATCGAAGTCAAACTCACATCGACCTACAAAGGTTAAGTGATAGAAATAAAAACAAAACGGTTGCGGCATCTTTGGGTTTGTTCGAGGGCTTATGTAACGAAGTATCTCTGAAAATAATACATACCCTGATATAGGTTTTTGTGCTATAAAATTTCCATAAAACTTACCCTTGACTTTGTATTAACATCATAACTATGGCGACTTAGTGAGCACAAACCAAGAAATCTTGCCGCCATTATGCAAGGAATTCAAAACCGTTTCAAGTTTATAAGTTTCAAGTTTACTCAGCTTCTGTTCAGAGTAGAAAATTCGAAATCCTTTCACAAAGTCTGTAATTCTTTATGAACGCTTATTTTGGATATTTTTTCACGTCTTAGGCGAGCCAAACTTGGTTCAAACTACAAGAAGTCTATTCGTACGTGTTGAGTATTCATGATGAATAACAATAATATTCTTGTTTACAAGTTGCTGGGATGAACGTTCATTGGTATTCATCAAGCAGAGATCCCTCTGGTTTTCTATTTGGTGATAAACTTTTACACTTCATTTATATTTCCATAACAGACAGATGCTGATAAACGACCACTGAAATCATTTCTTTTCTACCAGGACTAAAACAAAATACATTACTTCAGAAAAACAAAAATTACGTTGTTTTTTCAACGATTATTTTAACAGCATTTTGTATGCGTTGGATATTCAGTCTATTAAAATGTTGAGTCGTTTATTATAGAATGAAAATTATGCGAGGTTTAACAAATATATTAACGTGAATGGACGAGGACATTATGTGCTTAAAAAAATCATATGCATCAACGTTTCAGCCTGTTACCACAACAGTAAATTTTACTGGTATTCTTATCAAGACGTTATAGCAATTGGAATGTTTAGGCTACGTTCATAATGTATGGCGGGGGGGGGCAGGTGAAAATTTGAAATGTCCAGAANCCTAAGCAAGGCTTGTAGCTTCTTCCAACAATTTTACATCCCCCCATTTTTGTGATGAAAATTGGTCCATCCCCTCTTTTTCCTACCAAAATTTTCCCGACCCCCCCCCCCCTCATTTTCACCTGCATCCCCTCTGCCATACATTATGAATGCAGTCTTAGGAGTCAAGAGTTGGCCAAATATTAATTAAATAAACATGAAACGAGTTGAAAGAAAATATTAAAAAGAAAGAAAAACAACCAAGCTAGCGTCCATTCCTGTATCCAAATTTTTCTCAGCTTTCTAACCGAAAAATCGAAATTCAATTTAAAAAATTATGAAAAAATCGAATCTGATTTTTTGGTGAGAAGGGTCTGGCTACGAGAATAGCTAGCGTCAAAAATGCGAGAGAGAAAAAATTAACGGAAGGAGAATAGAAAACTGAAAAAGAATGGAATTATCGAACATAAAACAAAAATTAATAACCCAAAAGGAATAAGAAAGGAAATAAATGAAATGGAAAAAGATGGAATGAAATAAAGTGAAAAGGAATGAAATGGAATATTGTGAAAGAATACAAAAGAAATGATAGAAAATAATGAAAAGGATAGAAAGGGAAGGAAAAACTTACTGCAGTGAAACTTCATTTCTAGTGTTGAAAACCATGTACAAGTCAAGAATAAACCAACTGTACGAAACATGCCAGAATTGGCTGCTCATGAATATTAGTCACTTAAGTTGACTTTATTTTGTGGTCAGAGTCGTTTAATTTTTAACCACAAATATTCATGCTTGCACTGATTATAAGAATACTAATTATGTTTTGAAAACGTTTCTGAACAATTTTACATGAGAAATATAACTTAAATGAAGAGGTTTTAGATAGAAGTAAAAACTGGTAAATGTGAATATTTTAGAAAACCTTTTTTAATTGACAAAATCTGGCCCCTAAAGTATTTCATCTAACAAATCTATTTGAATTATTATTCCACTACATGAATAAGCCGATCGTATAGCAATTGCCCAGCCAGAAGCATTGGGTATCATAGAGGTGAGAGGGCTTGCCTCTCACCAAGGCTACCTGGGTTTGATTCCCCCTGGGGGGGTACTCCCCTATCTTCGCTATACGGGTACGTGCCGCCAAACAGGGTATGGTTTTCAGCGATTCTACTCTGGAACAGAGTATATAAAATCGAGCTCGCTCTGGAACAGGGTATATGAAATTACGCTCTCTCCT